CTACTTGGGAGGCTGAGGTGAGAGAATCATTTGAGCCTGGGAGGCAGAGGTTGCAGTGAGCTGAGATTGCGCCACTGCACTCCAGTTTGGGTGATAGAGTGAGACTCTTTCTCGAAAAAAAAAAAAAAGTTAACAAGTCTCAACCAACCAAACTTCTGATACTCATAATTTTTCCCCATAAACCCACTCCTCCTGCAGGCATCTCCACCTCCACTGATGAAAATTTCTGCCATCCACTTGCTAAGGCCAAAAATGTTAGCATCATCCTTAACTCCTCTTTCTCTCGTACTCCACATCCAAACCATCAGCAAATCCTTCTGACTCTATCTTCAAAATGTATGCAGAATCTATTTGATCACTGCTTAGCACCTCCACAATTACCTCTCTGGTTCAAGTTGCCATCATTAATCCTAATAGCCTGTTAATTGGTTTCACTGCTTCCATCATTGTCCGACCTTAATCCTATTCTCTACACAGCATCCAGAGGGATCCTGTTAACACAGAAGTGACCCCTTTGCTCAAAACCTTCCAACGGCTTATCATCTGACTCAGGGTAAAAGTCTAAATTCTAACCAAGCCCTATGTGATCCAGACTTTATTGCATCTATGGCTTCATCTCATGCGGTGCGCACACACACACACACACACACATATGCACTCACTCTGCTTCAGCCATACTCACTCTTTCTTGTTCCTTGAACTTGTCAGCACGCTCTTGTCTCAAGGCCTTTCCACTGACTGCCCCCTCTTCTTGAAACACTTTCCCCCAGTTATCACTGGTAGTTCACTTCCTGCCTCCTTCAGGATTTAGCTCAATGGCATCTTCCCAGTGCTGAAAGTAACAAGAAGTCACTCAGATTCTTAGATCCGCCATAAACATACAATGAGGGGAAGTTTGGGTGAAAAAATAAATGGAACTGCTGTGACACTGGCCTCTGGCCAGGAGCTAACTGTCTCTGGAACAAGACCTTGAAGCAATAGAAAGAGGCACTGGCCTTGTCAGCCATCAGATAGAAGGCATCTCTCCTCACGGGACTGGCCTGTGCTTCTGCCCTAGAGCAGGTAAGGTGCAAGTTGTTTATTGAGCCTTCAGAGGGTGCTTGCTTAAGAAGATGCTGAGCAGAGACAGGGACACTTGCTTTCAAACCTGGAGGCAAATTTTAAGAACAAAGCGCCTTCTGGTGCCAAGCACAGGAGTGTCTGAGAAGTGCGGTGGATAAAATGCATGTGGATTTGCTGATCGATTCTGAACACACTTGTTTGTTTTACAAGGAAGTAAAATATTACCATTTCACATGTTTATAATACCTCAATGAGCAGGAGAACATAGATTTTACTGATAACTTATTTAACCGCATCGACCCTCCAAAACACGCAAAAGAACCAGAAGGAAAAGAAAAAGATGTTTTGCAATTGGAATAGGTATCACAGAGTCCATGTACTAAAGCTCATATACATTAGTTGAAGTAGACTCCTCACAGGCCTACCCATGGTCTATTACACTTTTCACACAGTTTGAACAAGCGTGATTACCTTGTTCCCTAGTTCATACTACTCAGAAAGGGCAATGGAGGAGGGGGCATGGAGAATTAGGCAACAACAACTGGCTAGTAGAAACAGTTAAATCATAGCAGCAAAAAATATCAGCTAATAGAGAGGAAATCTATGGAAAAGTTAGGAGGGAAGAGTCAGGCATTGAAAATTAAAAAGCAGAACAATCTGTGCCCATTTAGTATAGGGACAAATAGCCCTCCACAGTTTAGGAGCCCCGAGGCAGCACTGAGTACAGCATATTGAAAGAACTAATGCTATTATAAAGACAATCTTAACCCATCAAAAAAGGATGCAATTATTTCCAGGTTCAGGGGTCAGGAAAGTAAATAGCATTTTTTGAAAAGCTTCTCATCCAAAATGGATGCATATTTTAAGGGGAAATTGTCAGGCACTAAAAGCGTTGAACCTCAATTACCCAGAAAAATGAGTTACGTGGAACACTCACAGTATAGTGTGGCTTAATAGATGACCGATCATAGTTGAAATACATCTTCCTACCGTACTGGAATGCACATTGAATACATTCTGTTGTGATTTACATATCTCCCTGAGCTATAAACTCTGATGAGTAAAATTTGCGGTGAACAGGTTTTCACAACTACTTATGCAAGTTATCTGAGATTACATTAGATCAGTACAGCTTACATTCTTTCCTCCTGTGATGAATACGAGATGTGTCTTTTTTTTTCATTTTTTTTTTTCATCATCAGGTAAAGAAATGTGTGAGGGAAAACATAAAGAACAAGTTTGAAAGGTAATTTTATAATAAATGTGTGCCTACTTCTGTACTAGACTTGCTGAGTTATCAATACAGCCCATGGAGAAGTAGATTTAAGGAAAGAACTTCAGTGCCAGGGGACATTTAATGAACCATATCGATGAGAGTAAGAAATAACATTTACTTCTTCCCAGTTGCAGACCCGATGGTCAGCTCTACCTGAATGTTCCACAGAAACCACATACCCAAAACTGAAAATCAAACTACCTCTTCCTCTTCCATTCCCTGTGTTAATGGTATCTCTTTCCAGTCACCCTAACCAGAAACCTGAAATTAACCTAGTCTCCTCCCTGTCCCTCAAACACCACAACTAGTCACCAAGTCAAATCAATTCTACCCTCTCAATTCCTCTCAGACCTCTCCCCTTCTCCCCATCCCCAGAAGTGACAGTCCAAGCCTCTATTCACTCAGAGCCAGCTTATTTCAGCTGCGTTCTAACTAGTCACTTTATCTCCAGTCTTCTTCCTCTCCACTGCAGAAGCCACACACTGAATCCTTCACACAACTTGTGTGATCTTTGTGAAAGCAAAAGCTTCTAACATTCATAGCTTCTGCTGACCACTGTGCCTACTGTGCACTGTACGGCCCTAGTAAGGGCATCATTCCTGGTGTGGTCTGTGTCAGTGGAGGCACTAGGGCTTTTGCAGTGCACAACCTGTACAACCATAGGAAGCAGCTTTCTCTATTGCCCTGCTTACAACACTCCAATGGCTTCCGATTGCTCTGGAAATAAAGTAGAACCATTCAACATGCCTTATGAGCCCCCTGCCTACCTCTCCAAATTTCTCTCTCTCCTTTACCCCCCATATTTTACACTCCAGTCATTTAAAAGGTATTTACAATTCCCCAGACCTACTCTGCTCTCCTCTCTCTGCTTGTCTTTGCACATCTTATTTCCTTGCCTGGAATACCATTAACGCCACCTATCCCTACCGCATTCAATCGCCACCCGCTGTCCAGCTGGACATTTGTGTGCTTCTCTCAAGATTCAACTCATGCATCACTCTCTCCATCAAGTCTTCCCCTAACTCCCTAAGCGAAGCCAATCATTTCCTCTTCCGGCTGCCCCAAGGAAGATTCTGCACACACGTATGTCATTAGCTTATTACACTGTAGCGTAATTTCCGGGCCTGAGCAATCCATAAATGGTCATTTTTGACGTGATTGTTCAGAAAGTTATTTACCACAGTGACAAACTTTGTAAACATATTTTAATATACAAATAGCTTTGAAGTATATGAAATCCATTTACATTTAAAATTGTTGTATTACAGTGTGTACTCTAATTGCATGGCTACAAATCCCTTCCGGGGCAAATGCTGAAAAGGTACAAAAGTACTGCAGACCCAGGTAAAAACACAGCACAGCAACTGGTGTCCTTTAGGTGTTATGGCAATTGTAATGCCACAGGAATGGGGGCCTGTCAGCATGTAGGAGCCTTCAAAAGTGTGAACAGATGAAACATCACACAACTCTAGAAAAAAGAGAAATCACTAGCAGTAAAAATGTCAACTTACATTTCATAGCATAACTAATTTGACCTTTGTGATTAAGCATGCATTCCTCCAAAGGAGTTTTTTGTTGTTGCTGTTGTTTTTTTTTTTTTTTCAGCTCCCAGGACGATGCAGAAGGTAAATGAGAACAAAACACAAAGTACTTTCCACTGTACTGCACAGAATGTTTCAGCAATATTTTTTTGTAGTCTCCAAAAATTATTTAAATTGCTCGTAAGACCTGAACTCGTTTGTACCCCATCACCACATTCCCCTTAATGATTTATTACATATAGAAAATAATATTGACCAGCTCAAAACAAAACAAGCAAGACCAAAGAGTTCTGCGTGATGAAGACGCATAGACCACAGCCTTGAATTCATTTCCTCTGGTCTAACTGAAGATGTTTGCATGGCCTCCTTTAGATTTGTGGATAGCACTGAATAAGGAGGTATATTTGGAACATGTGTTGTGGCTATCTGATTTGTGGGAAATTGCCACCAAGTCTATTTTTCGAATACCAAAACTTCCACTGCAAGGCCTAGAACCTAGTAAGTCAAAACTACCTTGGGCGCACAGGAAGGCGCGCACATCAATTGCAGCACCTTGCAGGCTCCTCTGAAAAGCTCTGGCTGAACTTCAGGTCCCAGAGTTGCACTTTGTTCTGAGACTGCTCCCGTGCCCCAGTCAGAATGGCCCCATAGGAACGCAGTCCCACAGCCTGCAGCATCCTCCCTGTTGCACCAACCCCAAAGCTGGGTAACTTCAGCTTGCTAAATGTGAGTGTATCACGACTGGCAAGTGACAAAGTCCATGTTACCCCACTCACTCCCCTTAATCAAACCATGGCAGTGGCCGTAAAGACTTTGTGAGTTACTTGACTTTGCTTTTGTTTGTCCTTCCAAACAAGAGCTTCTGCCTTTGTAGGGAAGCAAGAAGCTCAAGGACCAAGATGAAAAGATGCGCTTTTCTGGGTGCAAAGCCCAAGTCAGTGGCAGCAGCTGTTTCCCGACAACTACTCCCCCACCTGTCCTGCCACGGCCAGCTGCTGGTTTCAGAACCCAGAACCCGAGTGCCTTTTTGACTTGGTTTCCTCCACGTGCGTTATGGGAAAAACAAAAGCAAAAAACATTGCTTTTTCAACTTCAGGGAATATTACAAGGGAAGTGCACTCCTCAAGGAGGCTGGGTTCTGCTGTGTGAGATGCAGTGTTGACACTCTATTCCCACTTCTCCGGGGACGCACCAAAGTGGGTGAGAAGGGGATAGAAGACCAGAACCAGCAATGGCAGAGACATGCTCATACCGCTTCCTGCACTTTCCCACAGCCCTGCAGGGTCCGAGTTGAGAGCAGAGCTGCACGCCCGCAGCGCGGCAGCTGGCCAGAGGAACAGAGAACGGATGACCCAGCGAGTTCGTGACTGGGAGCGCCACTGCAGCACGAAAGCGTGTGTGCGCGCGGTGGGCGGAGGGCGGTGTGTGGACTGGAAGACAAAGTGCGCACGGGGAGGGGTGTGGACTGGAAAATAAAGAAAAGCCGGGAGGGCTGGGGAGGCAGCAGGTGAGAGAGAAGAGGGCAAGCGAGCCAGAGGCCGCCAGGGAGGAGATGAGAGGAGGCGACTTACCTGCCACGAAGACTGCTTGCAGGAGGCAGAGGTAGTTCTTCCCGTACTTCTCGGCAATCCTCACGCGCTGCAGGGCCATGGCCATGTCCACCTGCAGAGGGATCGCCTGGGCTATCGGCATGAAAGTGCAGCCGTCTGGGCTCTGGGGCAGGCCTGGGATCCTGCCGCACGACACTGGGGTCCACGGCGCCGAAGCGGCAGCTTGGGGTATGTGCCTGGCCGCCCGCCTTGGCGAACCCAGGTGGGGCCGGGCCCCTGCCGCTGCCATCCTCACGCTAGAGTCCCGGGCAGGGCCGCTACTCCAGCCAGCAGCTGCCCAGCTCTGACTCGGGCGCCGCCGCTGCTCGCTCAGGCACTGCCGGAGGGATACAGCCCCTGACCCGGCTCAGCCCAGCCGCGCCGCAGCCGCCAGTCCTCCGGAGCCCCTCTAGTAGGGACAGAGGCGCAGGGGCCTGAGAGCTCCGCGCGCGCAGAGTCCGGGAACTTGTTAGGAGTTTGGGGCTCCGGCGGAGCGCTCTGGCCACCTCCGCTGCGGGGGCAACTCTCCCTGGGTGCGCACACCCACGCCCCCTCTTAGCCACCGGTGAATGAAAGGAGGCGGGGGCTGTGGAGGAGGGACGCAAGGAGCCAAAAGGGAGAATTTCTGCCGAGATGCCCATTTTCGAGGGACGAAAAGCCAGCCTAGGTTAGCACCTGTGGTGGGAGAGACAGCCCAGCCTCGCACTTTCATGGCAACTCATGCAAGTCTTGGCGGTTCCTTAGCATCCTGGCCAGTATCCACCTGGGCAGAGACGGCGCAAGGGAGTTACACTGTGTGAGCACATGCAGGCGGCCCAGTCAGTGCTGCTGTCTTTGCCCCAAGAGGAGACGAGCCCTGAACAGTCTGAAAGGCCCTGTGCTGAAGCCGAAATATGTCCTCCGAGGATGCAAACAAACACAGATATACTCTGATCTCGGTCTTTGGATATGCCAAGTCCCACACCCTTCAGGTTCCAAATGCCAAGCCCCCTGTATAGACACTTGAGCTGCCATCTGCCATGGGCATGAGAGATTTGACACGCTTTAGAGAGGACACGAGAAAATGGAAAGGCAAGAGGAGGCACCCCGTTTAAGAAGCCAAATGGAAAACGAAAGGAGCTAGAGCTCCTTCCTTGCCCTGAACCCAAAGCCCTCAGAGACTGGGCTAAGGGAAGATGGAGCTCCGCAGTGCCTGGAAGGAAACGGGAATGCAGGAGCTGAGGGAGCCCTGCTTGTGAAGCAGTAGCCGACTGAGGAGAGGCCTGGGGTGTTAGCATTTTAAAAAAATGTGTGTCTGAAGCCGAGCTAATGCCATAGGGATTCGCCCCAATTTTGCTCTAATGCTTAGAAGTCCTGATGGGAATTGCAAATGCCACATGTCACTTTTTTCTTTAATACTTATCCTCTTCAAAATGTTCTGGCGGGAGAGTGGACTAATATTATACTGGCCAATCATTCCAAGTAGATCTCTTATGAGCAATCACCAATTTATACCCGAGGAAAGTGGGGGTAGGCAAGTGCAAAAGGCAGAGTGAGTAAGGGAGGAACACACACACACACACACACGTCCCCGCTACAAGCACACACCTACACACCTCTTCCCCTAGCCTTGCTTTTTCAACTTCTGGGAGTTGATTTGTATCTTTTTATCTGAATGTGTAAGTTATTTGAATGTGTTAAGTCAACCAGGCAGAATGTTTGCCAGCCTCTCTCTTGAATGTGTGCAGAGGGTAGAGGAGCAACCAGTTAAAATTTCCGCACTACTGTGGATAGGATGACATTAAGAATTCTACTAATGTGGCAGTTGTTGTAAAATAAGTTAAAAATAAATAAGACACAAATGAGGGGTAGTCTATAAAAGTTCTAAATAATAACCTAGGAAGACATTTTAAAAATATAACAATGGGAAAGACTTTCCATAGCATAATTTAAAAATATGAGATTGATCTGCAAATGGACAGATGCCCTGCCATGTTGTCAAGTGTAAAAAAGTAAGATGCAAAATAATATTTATTGTTTGATCCCTTATTTTAAACACTATACGTGTGTATGGTGATAGAAAATGATTGGGAAGGATACAAACTGCTAACAGTGTTGATCTCTGTAAAGTGAAATTGGAAAGCACTTGGTTATAGGAGAAATCTCATGTTTTTGCTTAATAAGTATGTTAAACTTTTTACGGTTATTAGCAACTGTTATTTTTGTAACTCCTTTTTTTAAAAAGAAGGAAATAAATGGAAAAATAACTTTAGGTTTAGAAAGCTATTAGAAACTTAACAAGATAAAAGAATGTTTTCTACATATGTAAAAAATATAAAAATCTAAAAGGAAAAATTTTAAACTTCTGTATAATTAAAAACATAAACAAAAGTCAAATCACAAATGGGAGGTTATTTACAAAGAAATAAGGTAACCAAAAAAATAATATCCTTCAAGGGATCCAGAATAGCCAAAACAATCTTGAAAAAAAAAAAAAAAGAGGACTCACACTTCCTGATTTAAAACCTTACTACAAAGCTGCAATAATCAAATCAGTGTGATACTAATATAATGATAGACTTATAGATCAATAGAATAGAACTGCGAATCCAGAGAAAACCCTTGCATCTAAGGTAAATTATTTGTGACCATGGTGCCAAGACAATTCAATGGAGAAAGAATAGTCTCTTCAACAAATTGTGAACCTTAAAATGTACATACCCTTTAACTTGAGGATCTCTCCTACAGAAATAATCAGAGATTTTTGACAAAAGTTTATATGCAAAGCATTATTAATTATAGCCCCAAATTGGATACAACCCACACATCAAACAATAGCAGGATGATAAATTATGATACATCCATAAATCCATTATCCATAATGGATTTTATGGATTTTTTATCCATAAGTGCATACAACGGATTGTTACGCATATGAATTATTAAAAATGGCATTCCTTGTAGTGATGGAACTGTTCTGTATCTTGATTCTATCAATGCCAATATTCTGCTTGTGATATTGTACTATGGTTTTGCAAGATGTTACCATTGGGGGAAACTTGGTAAAGGGGATACAAGATCTCTCTGTATTATTTCTTTTTTTTTCTTGAGATGGAGTCTTGCTCTGTCACCCAGGCTGGAGTGCAGTGGCACGATCTCGGCTCACTGCAACCTCTGCCTCCTGGGTTCAAGCAATTCTAATGCCTCAGCCTCCTGAGTAGCTGGAATTACAGGTGCACGCCACCACACCGGCTAATTTTTGTATTTTTAGTAGAGATGGGGTTTTGTCATGTTGGCCAACTCCTGGTCTCGAACTCCTGACCTAAGGTGATCCACCCACCTTGGCCTCCCAAAGTGCTGGGATTTCAAGCGTGAGCCATCACGCCCAGCCTCTGTGTATTATTTCTTACAGCTGCTTATGAATCTAGAATTATCTTAAAAAGTCTAATGTTTACAATGAAATTATTGAAGGATTTTTAAGAACACGAGAAAATGATCATGACCTTATGTTGATTGACTTATCTGCATGCAAGATGAATATGCAGTATAATTTCAGCTACGTGCTATCTATAAGCATTGAAAGAATGCTGGAAAAAACATTGAGTGGATGGATAGATGATAGCCAAATATGAGAGAGGGAGAGAAAGCCTAAGCTCACATGAGCTCCTTCTGTGTCATCCATAAAATCATTAATTATGCAGTCATTGAAAATAATTACCTCTTTTCTGAAGCTTTGCTAGACTTCCTGAACCAAACACCTTCTTTCATGCCCGTTCATCCTACCTTTCTCAAGCTGATTCTTATCATGTGTTGCAATTGTTTGCAGGTCTATCATTCAGAAATACTCTGAGGCTCTTGATGCCAGGAGAAATGTCTTATTAAGCACTGTCTTCCAGGGCTTGGCATATAGTAGGCCCTCAAAATGTGGGTTACCTGAATGGGTGAATAAAGTGACAATGAGTGAACATCAGTCTTAATTTTACTGCCGACCCTTATTGGAAAGAACACTAATCTCAGGGTTTTTCAGGTCTGAAGAAAAAGACGCATAGCTGTAACTCAGTCTTTAATTTGCATAGCACATTCAGATTCATCTACATTACTTTATAATGCAGTCTTTGGGGCCTTACAATGTAACTAACTCTTTCGGAAATAAGGCCCTTCGGTATTATTTCATTAATGCCCTTGGATGAAGTCTAAGGATAAACCAGCGTTATACCAAATTTCTCTCTCTAATGTGATGTAGTAAGGTGTTACACCATTTGCCTAAATCTTACCCCTCCTGAGTAGGACACAGGGAATTTGAGTAACAGGGAATACCCACCCTTCCTTCCTTCCTTCCTTCCTTTCTTTTCTTGTCTTTCTTTTCTTTCTTTCTTCTCTTTCTTTCTTTCTCTTTTTTCTTTCTTTTTCTTTTTCTTTCTTTTTTCCTTCCTTCCTTTCTTTTCTTTCTTTCTCTTTCTTTCTTTCTTTTTTCTTTCTTTTCTTTCTTTCTTTTTCTTTCTTTTCTTCCTTCCTTCCTCCCTTCCTTCATTCCTTCCTTCCTTCCTTCCTTCTCTTCTCTTCTCTTCTCTTCTCTTCTCTTCTCTTCTCTTCTCTGTCCTCAGCTCCAGCCTCGTAATGAGGACTGCCCTCATCTCAAGGCTCCCTGCTCCTCCCTCCACCTCCTCCTGTCTGCCACCCCACCACTCCACCTGGCCCCGCCTCCGCCTGGCTCGTCGCATCCGCTATGTCCTGCTGCTATGTTGGTGGCTTATCTACATGCAAAATGGAAATATACAGTATAATTTCAACTACAATGCTATCTATAAACATTGAAAAAATGCTGGCAGCGTAAGTAGATGAATGAGTAATAGCAAATATGAAAAAAGGGAAAGCCTCGCTCAGCAAACTCCCTTCTATCATCCATCGCCGCCCCATCGCCACTCGCCCTCTGCTAAACCTAAACTCCCACTGCCCCTATACCCATTCACTCCACTACTCACTTAATTCTCCGGGCAGGGGTGCGTGAATTTCGGTAGCAGAGCAGCACGGTGGGAGAAGTAATGTATTGGCTTGCTGTCTTCCGGGCTTGGCATAGTAGGCCCTCAGAAATGTGGTTACCTGAATGGGTGAATAAGTGACAATGGTGAACATCAGTCTTGGTTACTGCCCGACCCTTATTGAAGCACTGTCTCAGTTTTTCAGGTCTGAAAAAAAAACGCCTGCTGTAACTCATCTTTAGGCCACCTCTTATTCCATTCCTCCCCATGCCTGCTTGTCTTTGAAACACCCACAATATAACACTCTTTAGTAAAA